GAACGTAAATTAAGTCAAACTAAGTCTAACTAGAAATTAAAAGATAAATCTACATCTCTTAATATCTTTTAAAAAATTCCTCATCAAATATTTCGATAATTATCAAACTGAAAAATTAACTTGCCAGTCAGAGAGTCGTTTCAGCTTGTACGAGGAGACAATTGACAAAATTCTCTTATAGGAAATACCGCTTTACTGTTGTTACCGGATGTAATTCGGTATACGTATATCCGGTATCGAAATGTCGCATGACCCTTAACAGGTTGAATTTTTTCTCGTCCGCAACTACCTATGCCCGCGCAGATCGTTGTGCCTACCGCAATGAGAACACGGCCGTGCCTTTCGGACGAGGTAAGAGGAAGGGGGGCCCGACGACGTTACCAAATCGCTATGGCGTAACATTTTGCTTATTCACGTTCGATTATACAATCTGGCACACTTTTACTCGGAGCGCGCCGCGACAGCTCGTCGAGCGCGCCTCGATATAACGCAGTGTCGTCACACCATTTTTATCCCTTGCTCTCCAAATTTTTCACACATAATAGCGTTCACTTTTTATTTAAAAAAAAAAATAAAAACAAAAAAAGAGAAAAAAAACATTTTCATGCGCTTGCGTATCTATTTTTTCTATTTATCTTAAATAAGTATTTAATGTTTTATCTAACAAGCCGTTCGGTTTTGCTAAAGTATCTAAAAATTTAGCTACAATATTAGAAATTTAAAATGCCCATTACGGTCGAAGCTGGATCTTCATCGCTTTAAATAATTTAATCTTGTATTACTAATATACATTATATATGTATTTGCATAAAACTACTCTATTAATCGTGAATTAAATTGACAAGGAATTTTAATAATTTGATGCTATCATCAAGTGTCATATTAAGATGTTAATATGTTAAAAAATGTTAATAAATTTATTGCGAAAAATTTAACTAGATAATTCATATCTAGCAAAAGATAGAATTGATAATAATTTTGTTGAACCATAAAAATAATTGTAGAATATTTAAGCGAATATTTAGTAGAATATTTAAGCGTTACTGCGAAAAATTTTAACATTCTAGTAATCAGCAAATCTATAATATGTAGTTTAAGCATCCTGCGTAATTATTTTGGTGGTACAAACAAAATTGTTTTCAGATCTGTAGCTAGATTTTTAAATATTTCAATGAAATTGTTCTTTCTGTGATGAAGTTAAATTTTTTATTTTCGGAAATATTTGATTTTCATCTCAATATATACCTAATAATTCAATCGAGAAAGCAAAATAACGCTAAATTTCACTATTATAATCTTAGAATAAAATTATGACCAACTGCTTTGCTCGCGTTTTCGCGACACTCCTCGCAAAATTCTACGGGCTAACCATAAAGTTATTATCGACGACATACGCAAATGGCAGGCTCATTCCGAGCCACAGAAATTTTCATTAAGGCGTTGTCTTATTAGCATATTTCGAGTGGCCGCAATTTACGGTCCGGTAAACGGCGATCATTCGTACCTCCACGAACGACGCTTTAAATGCGTTAAAGATACACACACACACACGCAGCAATTTTTCCCTCCGAGAAAAATGATCGGGCACGTTGTAAAAATGAGGTTAAAGAAATGTAGTTTCGCTCGCAGGATATATTCAATTAAGGAAAGTTCGATCTCATTGTCGACAATGTCGCGGTGGGAATTGCGGCCTGCGATAATAATAAAACGCAACGAGCGTTGCAGCTTCCGCTATATACCTTGCGTTAGCCTTTCTTCTGTTTTCTTTTCGCTGCGATAATTGATACTCTATGCTCGCACGCAGAGAATTTCACCGCGATTGTATACGCGCTTTTCACCTCGAATTGTGGCTCGTCAAGAAATGAACCTTGGCGCGGGTTGTTTTCGCGACGCCAGGTGCGCTCGTTGATAATCAGCTGCCGATCCCGCTTAGTACTCGCTTTTAATGGCTTTTAATGGCTTTTAATAAAGAGAATATCCATGCCGCAAGATCGCAGTCGAGAAATTACCTAACTTGTCGATCGCGCCCTGATTAATTTATACTTTGCGCGCACCGATCCAAACCAACGCGACTGACCCACATCGTCTACGTTTAATTAATTCCTGCGATACTTGGATTCGCCCTGCGGGCGAAGATGGCCGCGCAAAATACACCTGACGTAGGTGAATCAGTAAAAATCTAACGCCACAAGTGTCCGCAATGTTCGCGAAATGTTTATTCCGCGACGTCCTCAATTTGAGGATCGCTGACATGCTTAATCTTAGCGCGCAACCTCCTTCAGAACCTCATTACAGTGCTAAATTTTTATGTTTAGAATTGAGTCTCGAGGATTACGCTTACTTTTTACGTTGAAAATTTACTTTTACATTGCGAAAGCAATTATGCAGACGTATGTATGTGATTTTTGTACTTTTTGCCTCAGACTTGTCGAATTTGAATGAGCTAAATTTGAAAGCTTTAATCCCTATACCAGGAAAAAAATATTCGGTATTTATAAGTATAATTACATGATAAAATATAAAATATTTTTATTACAGTAAAAAACTCGATTTTTATAATTACTATAATGTTAGTGATAATAACTGATAATACTAATTATATACTTACATTTCTATTTATTAGACAATTATATTTATAGTTTCACTAAAAAAAGTATATATCATATTTTATACAATATATTATGTAGTTGGCACAAAAATAACTATAAGTTACAGTTAAATTATGGGAAGTGTTGCTTTTGCTAAAATGACTAAAATTTAGCTAGATACAGATCTAAAAATAATTTTATTGGCCCAAAATAATTATGCAGAACGCTTAAACGTTGATGAAACATTGCCATGAATAGTTTAACACATTTTAACATTCTAACAACTAGTTTAAGCGTCCTATACATATAATTATTATAATGATCCAAAATTATTTTTAGATCTGTATCTAGCTAAATTTTTAGATACTTTGTAGCAAAATCGTTCTTCTGTGTATTCATTGGAACCATTTTTTTTAGTTTAATGTATAAGTAAATATAAACCATTAGAGACCTTAGCCAATTTTGAGTTGGCTTTTGGCTTTACCTTGATAAAATTTTAATTAGAAAAGTTCAGAAATAGTCGATAACTAACAAGAGAATGTTTACATCATCTAGAAGTTTATGAAAAAAAAATCTGTTATTTCTCAACGGAGATTGTAAGTATCGAAGGAGAAAACTGCGTGTCTGTCTGTCTGTGGAGATGCGAGAGCGTAGACGGAAATGCTTCGGTGGCAGGAAACGAATCTGGGCCGTCGAATCAGAGAACGGCAAGTAGGTCACGAGAACGGGACGAATCGCGCTCCGGAGATGTCGACGTCGACGTCGTCGTCGTTGACAGCGACAGCGACAGCGACGACGACGACGACGACGCTCATGAGATCGCTCCACCGCGACGACAAGGCGAATCCTTTCACTTGGCATCTTGGCCGCGGAGGAAGTCCTTCTCTAGTATTAGACGAACTAGACACTTCCTGCCTTCACACGCTCAACGCTCGACGAGAAATTCGACCCAACTTCTTCTATCCCGCAACAGCATCGTCTTTGAAATCGCGGATTTACGTTCTAATTCCTTTATCACTTTCTCGTCTACTAGATCAACATTGTAAAGTATTTATATTAGTCGTATTTATGTGTATTTAAAACGTTGTATTTAAACGTTACATTTAATAAATACAACGTTTATTGTTGTCATTTCATATATACGATTATTATGTTATACAATGTGAAAAAACAATATAAAATCTCTCTTTATTATTCTATTATGGCGGAAAGTGAAATAAAAATGTCAGCGATTTAATATCTCCTAAATAGCGCCATTGGTACGTGGAAATTTATCCACTTGTTTTAAAAATAAGAAATAAAAATATTTAAGTCATCTCAGCGAAGTAAACGTATTGTCAATATTTATCTATATCATACTCGTGATAATTTTATTTCGAATTACAGCATTCTATGAGGTCACAGATGTAAAAAGCGATAAAAATGTCGCTCATTTCATCTACATCTTTAGATTTCACAACTTGCTTCATTATATTTATCAAAGATACATATACATGCATATTTCTCATCAATTTTGGCAATGTAAAAAAAATAGCGATTATGAATCTATCTTACTAGTCGAAAAGTGATAAGAAAACACGATAATTATAATGTGTGTGTATATATATAGATATAGGTATCATTAAATCATAAAGTCTATCGGTATTATTTGCCACTTCTTACACTCAGAATCTTAACTTTCTCTCTTTCCAATACTTGAATATATAATATATTTATCTCGTTAAAAATGCAAAAACTTTAAGCAATTTTAAGCAGCACGAATAAATCTATAGACTCGTAGAGGATCGATCGCGTGCGTGGTTATTTGTCGGTTCAAAGGCGAAAATATTCCGCGTTTGGTTGGTCGACAGCAATCGAATCGATATCTACGAAGGCGAAATAAACTCTACGGGTTACCGCGTCGTTACGTCACGACGATCCAGTCTTCAGATACGACCGCGAGATATCGAAATCACTGTTTCGTCGAGTATTCATCTTCCTCCATTCCCCGCACTTTCCTATCTCTTCCTCCTTCTGATCGTCACGCCAATCGATCGTGATGAGAACGGAGATACATCTACTATCGTCGAAATTGCCGATAAGTAAACGAGGTCAAAGAAAAGGCCCTCATTGCAAGTCTAGCATGAAATCCGAGTCGGTAGATTGCTATCCAATGCCTCTGAAGTAAAGGGTAAAATTTCGAAATCTCAGTTTGCTACTCTCTCGGTCAATTTTTTTCTTTAATTTTCACGTCGTCATTGACATCGAAATTTTAATCAGGCACCACGTCCAACACATCGATCTTGCATGATCTGTTATTACCTATTATCGCTTATTGTTCGAATTCATCGAGGATTCTCGGGGAGTTTCCCAGCGGGGTTCGCTAATTCCGCCAATTACGTCGTTGTAATAAATTAGAGTTTGAGAACTTACGTGAGGATGGCTGACGGTAATGCAAGTGATGCTGGAGACCCTGCGCTTGATGATGATGGTGGTGGTGGGGCGGTCCCATCGTCGGGCCCATAGTATGGTTGCTGTGCTGATGGTGTGGCGAACTCCCTCGATGTGGATGATACTGGGAGGTGATAGGATGCTGATGAGGATGATAGGTGGGCGACAGGAAGCTTGCCGTTGATCCCGGATACACACCGGGGCTGTGGCAGGCCGATCTGCCGAGTGCTGCTGTCAAGCAATCAATAAGATGCGTTCAATAAGAAAGTATATTTTGAAAATATATCTTTTCAAGATATATCTTCTTTTTGGAACTTCCGTTTAACGAAGTTTACGTTAAAAATCCCAAACCATCAATCTTACTCTTAAAACAACCATATTCTATCGTACAAAAGTATTTTAATGATAAATAATCTTAACTCTTTAAAATATTTAATAATTACATTGAGAAATATAAAAATTATAAGTAAAAAGTGCAATTAAAAGTGAAAATTTATAAATCTATATAAGTATTATTAAGTTACTTCGACCAAGATCCTTCGATCGAAAATTCTTTGTCTTTTATACGATTCGGAATTTAGATTACAATTACGTTTAAGTTTTCCGTATAGATAAATAAAGATGTCGAAATGAAAATATTAAAAAATTAAAATTTTTTTGCAATTAAATTTATAACGGATTATCTTGAAAAATAATTAAGATTTATACGGCGTTAGAAAAATTATACAAATTTAATATTCCTTATTATTAAAGCTGGGAATTATATGCACGTAAGAACAAGAATATATGCACATATTATATGCAAAATTTGGTAAAAATATGCAAAAATATTAGGAAATAATGTGAAAATATGCAAAAATATGCAATATATACGTTAAATGAAAAGCGTAAAAAGAAATATTTGTAAAAATGTAGTAAAATAAACAAATAACAAATTTAACTTGAAGCAAAAAATACAACATTGTATTGACACAAACGAAATTATTATTTGAATACAAAACTAAATCAAGAATATTTAATTTCTTACAGAACACTGTAAATACTTACAATGAGATATTTGCATAAGATGCAAAATATGCAATATATTTATTAAATAAAAAGTACAGAAAAAAATAATTGTAAAAATATAATAAAATAAACAAATTAACTTTGAGCAAAAAATATATGAAACAGTATTAACACAAAATGACATAATTTGAATACAAAATTAGGTCTTTAAAAAAATATTTAATTTCTCAAAGAATTGTAAATATTAATGAGCAAATTTGCAACTTTACAAGAAATATGCTCAAAAAGATACGTATGCAAAATAAAAGCAACGCTTTGCTTTTACGTAATTCGTGTAGATATACAAGCCGGTTCAAATTCATACGTATTAATAATATAAAATATGCACTTTCATATAATCCCAGCTTTACTTATTATAATCTAAATTTCTTAAAAAAGAATTGCTCAATTAACATAATTGATTTGCAAGAATCAAAAGTGAGTATTAATTCTTTAATTCTCAGATTGATAAATTTCTTAATAACGATTCCTATTATCAATCTCTCAAATTTGTAAATTTTTTGCAAAAGAAAATAAATAAAGAATTACTCTAATTCGAAAGAATTATTATTAATTGTTATTAAAATATTTTTTGTTCAACATTTAAGACTTAAAAAAAAATTTTTTGTCCACATATTATGTTAAACGCGTCAATGATGCGCAAAATGTATAAAGATCGAGCTCACCCGACGACAGATGGGAGTGATGAGATGCCAGACTCGGCTGGAGGGACGAATTAGGATTGAGCCTTGCTTTCAGTAAGAGATTCGCGTCCTCGTTGCCGCCGGAGGACGTGCTGGACTCGACGTCGCTGACTCCGCTGTCCGCTGGGCTCGCTGGCAGTGATCCGCTTCCTGCTTCCAGCCATGAAACAAAGGGAGGAGACGCGTCCTCTGTGATAAATAGCCGGCGGAGTTTACGGCTAGCGATAAGACGCGACACCGTCAATTAATCTCGCGCGATTCCGTTTCGCACGGAGAACAGCGCGATAAATAAAATAGAAGGCACTCGAGAGGATTGTACAGAGAAAGAATTGCGTCAGCCTCTGCGAAAATTATTATTTCGTTGAAAAAGAAGCTACACGCCAAGAACAATAACTTTACGTAGAGTTACAAGAGTCAAACGTGAATGACGTGTCCTTTTCACATTTTATTTCAAATATAATAATATAAAAAATATTTAAATAACCGCTAAACACTTTTATTTTTATCATTCTTATATAAAATGACGGTATTTCTTGATATATTTGAAATAATATCTTTTTATTATCTATTTTTGTTAACCTAACTTCTTCAACAAAACGGGAAAGTCAGCGATGCTGAAACATTATCAACCGTATCACATTTTGAGGTGAAAAGAATACAATGAAATAATGAATTATAATAAATTTTACTTAAAGAAAAATTATAAGACTAAAAGTGGACTTCGTTCTCTAAAGGTTAATGAAATAAAATTATGAATAAAATTACAATAATTATAATTTCATTTTTACGATGTTTTCTATCGACCACAGTCATTCGGCATTTCATTATGTGACTTGTATATTAAAGTTGTTCTCCATTACCTTGTATATTCTTGAACCACAAGTTTTATTTTTAATCTCTCTTTCAAAAAGTCATGTCTTTTAAGAGAGCATAATTTGTGACCGATATAATTCCTCGCTTCTGACGTCACCGGCATATACATATAGCCGAAGCAACCACCGTATCGCATTGGTTTAAACATCCGATGAATACTTTATACCAAGTATACGTCGCAATTATCGAATCGCCGCGCCGTTTTGCTTTCCACTACATATTACGCGGACGTGATAAATTAGCCATCGACCGATTCGGCTCTTTGCCAGGCCCTAAATTAAAGCCACGTACACGTCGCTTTCGTCTACCGCTTTAAACAAATTAGGTGTCCCATCGAGGTGGTCCAGCGGCTCTCGTTCTTCCGTTCATTCGGCTTTATCGAGCGTCGCCGAGCCATGCCGTGCCGAACGTGTTTTCGCGCGCGCCGTCAATTAAAGGCATCTTTATGCAACGAGCGAAGGTCATCCGGTCATTGGGTATGCATATCGCTCGCTCTTCCCACGGTACCTCTCCCCTTCTCTCTCTCTCTCTCTCTCTCTCTCTCTCTCTTTCTCTCTCATAACGCGACTGTCTCAAACGAATCCCAAAGGGTTCTGCACGAGTCATTGCTCTCTTTCTCTCCTATCCTATCTCCCCTTTTCTCTCTTTCTTTTTATCGTCATCGTCATCATCGTCATCATCGTCCACCTCGTTGTCATATTACGCAAGGCAATCATGCAAAACTGTCGCAAGCTGCCGCGAATCTCACCGATCGACCGGCGCTGCTTTATGCAACGATCGAGTCCAAGTATTTTAAGAACCGTCTTACGCCCGAATTCCTATCGAATATGCAACGCAACGATTGGTTCGTTACCGGCGCGATTTTTACCGTTGCGTAATGCAACTTTGTGAAATCGACATTGATCCACAATTGCAACTTACGGATTGCGAACGCGGAAATTTGGTTTACGTCGTTATTATTACGCGATTCCTGCGTCATATTACACTGTAGATCATTCTTGAGAAATCGACCGGAAAAAATTTTTTTACTTTCTCTTCTTATTATAATTGCTATAGCGATTGATTATTGTTCAATTAGCAGTAGTAACACCGCGATGCAATTATACTCGACAAAAGTCCAAGTGCATCAAACTGCAGTTGTCATTGTCACTTCGATAACGAACAATGTATACTATAAAAGCCACTGTGATCCAATTAACGGAAATTGATATCTTATTTTATCCGGCAAATGTCAACCCGCAAAATGTCAATCTCATTCGTGGACAAGACGTCTTTGTTGATATCTCATAATACAACATAACTATGAAATTTTTAGAATATCACGTATTTTCGAAAGAGAATCTCTAATAAAAGTCTACAAACGATTGAATTAATGGAGTCAGATAAAGAAACATAAATTTGATTTTGACGTATGTAGTCCTCGTAGTTATTATAAAAGTTAATTTTTTAAAATAACTCATTCTAATCGAAGAAACAGTATCGATATACGATACATTCTAAATAATGAAAAAATGTCAAGAAACTTTCTAAAACTTTTTTACGTTATATTAATTTTATTTTCTTTCGTTTTATTGTACTTTAATATTTCATATTTTAATATTATTATTTTAATGTTATATTTTTCTAACATATATTTATATTATATACTTTTTATTATTGTATTTTATCATTTTATATATACATATATATATTAAAAATTCCTATTGACATCAAATATTTATTTATCCTTCTACTTTATTTGTATTTGATTTTACTTCTTTCTTCATTATACGTGGATATTAAATTCCACTAAAAATATATTAATACATTTTTTTTTCAAGTTTCCTCATTTTTCTTTATACTATCTACTGTATATACCTGTACATCATCATATTGTTCTCTTACTTCAAAATTGACATAACTACAAAAAATTAAGTTTTTCAAAAAAGGAAAAAAATATTTTGTAATTACATTATATTGATTAATCAAATAATATTGGTAAAAAGAATATATTCTTAGAAACATGATCGAATATCATTTTTATTTTCGTTTCGCAACCCTTTTAAGTTGTGACAATTTTGATATCTTATAAAATTATATCAAATATTAAATAATTCATTAAAAGTGATATAACTGGAAATATCGCAACAGTTTATACTTACTTTAATCAGTTAAATTGACTAAATTCTCGAAATAAATCAATTTCTTCTTAAAACTTTGATTAATAAAACTAACTCTAAATAGCGTTTTCGAGTGCAAGAGGTTTGAATTCCCAACTCAGATCGATTAACATAAAAGTACCACGATCTCAACGAATCAAAAACCAAGTAAAGTATGTGACATTATTATTAAAGTAAAATATGTGACATTATTAATCCGACTGAAGAAAAAATATGCTATAAATGTTTTTTGTAAAAGACTCTTTTTTATTTACAAAAATAACAGCACGCAAAATGTGTCATTTTTATATAAGAGATATTATGATTTCTTTGAAAATCTCCAGTACGAGTACAAGTATCCGTCTAAGTCAATAAATTGAAGTTAAAGTTATTGCTTCACACTTTTAATGACTGATAGAGGAATCGTTGCCTAACTCATTCAAGGTAAAATAACTCAAAAACATTTTTTTTAGTTATTTAGTTAGTTGTGTTATTTTTCAAGTAAAAGAACAATATGTTATTCTAAATCTCATATTGCAAAATTTAAAAAAAAAATCAATCAAAATTCTTATCGAAATGTTACGCTGGCTAATCTATTATCGAAAGCGATCATTGGTGAAAATTATAAAAGACTATGACCCTCAACAATGAAGTCTCAACAGCAGCTTAAAAGCAGTATTCTAAAGCCTCGTTGATATGTCTTCGGGGTCTTACCTGGCGTATTTGTCGTGGCGATAGCGGCAGTGGTATAAGGCGGTTGACCCATCTGTGCGTGACCGGCTAAGTGTCGGCCGTATCCGTTTTGCAGTCCCAGGCCATGCTGCTGGGGATGCTGGGAGAGGATACCGTGGAGCAGACGAGTCCCTGTGCTACTGGTAGTCGTCGCGCTGGTGGATCCTGGCTCCACTTTTACACTTGCGAGGCCTAGCTGTTCTTTCTCGCTCGGGTCGTGCGGTTGGACTTCCCTGGTATCCACTGTAACAGAGATAACAGGAAGCGTCGTTTAGATAAATAGATATTAATCCTGCTTGATATTGTACATTAAAACATTAGAATTATTGTGAGTAAACGATAAAATAAATGAAATGTCGAAAATTGTAACAGAATAGATAGAAATAAAATATATAAATATATAAAGGAAAATTATATGTGTGTGTGTGTTTGTATGTGTGTGTTTATTGTATTAGAAAATAAAAAAAAAATAGAATATTAGAAATTAGAACAAATATAAGAACAAAGTTTCCATGTGTATTTTAAAATTGAAAATTGTTTTTTAAATTTACACTAAAATTGCAAATGAATTTATTAAATAAAGCTTTTGTTTTTAGATTTTTAAATTTTCTACTCGTCCTATAGTTTACTCTGTTTATAAAATATCGTTTTACGTTACAGAGAATTCCACACTGAGAGAAAAATGTTTGGTATTTGTAACTATAATTATATATTACTGCTATAATAATAATAACAGTAACTATGCGTACAGTTTTAACAACAAATGTATACAGTTGGCAATCTAAAATGACTAAAATTAGTTATTACAATCATAAAATAGTTGAAATTACCATAAAAATGATTCAAGCGACTATAATTTTACATTTTATATTTTGGGACAACCATATTTTTTTTTATAGTGAAACATGTCATATTAATCCCGTAAACACACATAAAAAAATAATGCTAACAACAAATGGTTATTTTAGAAATTAAAGTACAGCATAGTTTTCATTCGCTATGTCACCAGAGTATTCGTGCAAGCGTGAATTGTGCAGACTCTGTCATAGAGTGAAACACCGATTTCTCATTAATGAAAAATAACGTTCCGCGAGAGAAATAAGTTACTTGTTGTAATTCGTATTGCACCGCGCGTTGCTCAATCCAGATTAATTGCTGAATACAGTTCATCTGTTGGAAGACAAACATATCTTCTCCACGGTATAATTAAGTATAGTCATAGACGGATAAACATTCTCACGGGGAGAAGAACGACAGAAGGAGAAGGGAAAAAAAGTCGTGGCTCGGGAGGCGTTCTCGAGGAACTCGCGCTGGCTGCCGAGAGGAAGTGAAAGCCGGCGTCTCTCCTTGACCCACTGCAACGTTTCTACCTTCCTTTCAGGCAGTGCCGAGCCGCGGCGGCTTCATTAAGCAATTTCTCGCGGCAGCGGGCCCGAAAAATCCGCCATGGAAAAATGACGAGCGACCAATGCGATTCGACTGACAATGAGACACTCCTCTTGCGAATTCTCTCGATCTTCCGTTCTTTCTTCTCCTCACTTTCGAAAGATCGATGAAAATTGGGCAACATAAATCTCTCAAGTGGTGCACGTATCTCGCATCGGAGTTACTATGAAGAAATATTACGGAGATATTCGTCCACTGAAACTTGACCAATCCAAATAAACCCGTTTTTGTATAACCAATATTTATGGAAAGCATCCAATCGATACCGTTTCTACATCGTTGTGATTAAATATTTGTATGAATTTATGAGTCCTCGCAAATCTAATTAGTATTCTCTAATAATTCGACAAAAATCATTTATTTTCTTCTCATAAAGTTCTAAGAATTTTTTCAGAATTTTTTATCAACTTTTTAGTACTTTATTTTCTTTTTTTTTTACCAACATGAGAAAATACAGTATTAAAAAATTCTGAAAAAATTCTCAGAACTTTATGAGAAGAAAATTAATGATTTTTGTCTCTTGCAGTTTTTTTGTAAAGTTGATAGTGTTTGAGTTAAAAATTATTCAAGACCAATATTTGGCAATTTTTAGTAATTAATATCTTGTTAACTCTATTGCAAAATGGTAGAGGACTTTTCGACTCAGTTTAGTCTTCTCTACCCATGAAATATTTGGCGATTATTTCCAAACACTCTGTATATATATATAAAACTGCGTAACATTTCATTTTTATTATTGCTTATCATAATAATACTTCTTGCTAAAACGGATCAAATTTGCAAGATAAAAATTTTCACAATGATTGGAAATATTCATCAAAATAGGTAATAATATGATGCATAAATCGAAGTGATCGCTTGAAGATCAACAAAATCGATACTTGATACGCCATGGCAGCACAGTTAATTACAAGTTAGCATTTCTATGAATAATTTTCGCCTCCGCTATTGAAATTGCGTATCTCCGTAACTTCGTAAGAGTCGCAACATCGTAATAATTACGGATGCGTTACTAGCCACGGAAACAAAGAATGCAACATTCTCGCATAGATCCTTCCAATTGTTACTATACAGTTATTACTATATTCACAATGAAAAAAAAAACTATTTTGTGTAATAAAGAACAAATGAATAATTGTATAATAATTAAAATTGTATAATAATTAAAAAAAATTATAATTGTCAATTTTATTACTTAACTCGGAAGTAGTCATTTTATTTTTCTTACGTAAACGATCACCCGCAGCACTTTACACGCTTTACTAATTAAAATCACTATTAATATATTGTATATTATATTGATTATTTTCCGATTTAATAGTATTTGACATTACGGATTTATTTATAATTTTTTGAAAAAAGTAAATAAAAACCAAATAAATATTACAAATAAGCATGTTAAGCTTATTATGATAATATTTCTAGAAAATAAAAATGTTAATAAATAAAACATTTTTTTATTGATTTTCGATGGAATTGCGTATTTAAAGATTTGTTAGAAATAGTTATTTAAAAAAGAAAGAAAATATTGTATATTAAACAATATTTATTTTATATTCAAACAATTCACATTTTTTTACCTATGGTATAAAAACATCACACTGAGAGAAATAAATTTGTTATTTATATAGAAATAAAAAAAGAGATAACAAATATAATGGTTTGGTAGAAAAATGAATCAATTACTATTACGAATAATTTCTCATTATTTGTTAATGTACATACAACAAATGATACACGATTTAAAATACAAATTAAAATAATCAATATTGCTAATAAATAAAAGTCTATGAAAAAATAGGTTACATTTTACATAAATTCCTTTAATTACTAAAAATTGATTGAAATAGGAGACTAATATCAATCACAATAAATTGTCACTATAGAATAAATCATTTATTAAAGATATTGGTGGTTTGTTAAATTAACAAAATCCTTTCTCTCAATACACTCTTCTGGAAACTATTCTTTGTTTAAACATTGGGTTATATTATGTTTGGTCAATTACTATAATTTTATTATAGATAAAATAAAAATTGCATTGATCATAATGCATTTATACGTATAAAACTCAGGCGCATATTTATATTGAATATGAAACTACAGCGCAAATCAATTATTATATTGACGTCATTGCGGAACATCGATTCGTGTATTGACTCGGTAATTACACGATCGTGCACATAAAAAAAAATTAAATTTAACGCCAGGCAACAAATTAATTAGAAATTATGTCTCTTATGTGACGTTTGTGTAAGTTTACCATTACTAAATTATGTTTCCTCTCATTTTAAATCCCTTTTTTTCCTTTCCCAATAAAATAGCGTGCCATCGATTGATACTAAACGCGAGTTACATTCTTTTCAATTGAAAAGTATATTCGTAATATTTATTTTTAGAGATCCGCAAACAAATAGGATGTACGTCTTCCAAACACTTCAAGGCTCCCGGAAATAAACGATGCTTCAGCATTGTTTAAAACTATCGTCGCTCACCTCTCGCACACCTTTGCAGGCACAATCAGGCCCGACCCAAGAGTGTCGTTTAGCATTTTTATTACGCTCGTAATCCACCATGAAGATTTAATCGACTCTTGAGATTTAACGAACGTACATCTTCATTGCTCGCTGTCTATTCCGGGAAAACAAGGAAGGGATTGAGAACAAAAATACCTGTCTATCGTCGCGTATCAAAATTAGTCGTTATTTCTCTTTAATACAAAAAAGACCCGAGATAAACAGTTTCGAAAATAATTTTGTTGGATTATCAAAATAATTTATGTGAAACGCTGATTGCTAAAATGTCAAAACTTTTTGCAGTCTTGCTTATCATGCTTGAAATTTCTACGTAATTATTATTTTGGTAGTCAAATGAAATTATTTCGAATTTAACAACCTGTTAGTAATTCAACTTTTAGTAAATTCGATTGGACGCATTAGTGCATATTAAAGCTATTGTATACTGATTTAATCTGTATAAAAATAAAATGCAATTTCGAATTATAAAATATTTTACTTAACAACACAATAAAATGTATTGCACAATAAATGCATTTCATGGCTTAATCCGTTTTTATATTTATATTAAATACACATTTTTTACGTCAATTTGTATATAATGGATTTAATGTGTCAGTGCGCACTGCGTGTATCCAATCGAATTCGTTATTTGACGGATTTAAGGATGAATTTTTGAAAGTTTTTAATTGATTGCTGAAACGTTCTGACATCATGATTTTTCAACAAATCGGTAAAGAAATTTTTTTTAACTGCACCATACTCTCGTTTGCCTTATTTGATTCTTATCGTTCTTTGTAATTTTGACAGTCCATCAAATTTACATTTTTGAGGAGATAAAATTGTTTTCAAATCTACCTGTATCTTGCTAAATTTTTAAAACTGTTATTTAAAATCATACTTAAAAATCGTTCTTTTTCTCTCTGTTCAGTTTTAATCGCCGTGTTTCTCAAAATCAAGAATATTATTTCCAGAGACGTAACGAGGGGGGTTGGCGAAACTGGCCTAATGTACTAATGTTTAAATGTATAGATTAGAAGAGAATTTTTTTATCTTGCATCTCTGTACGACACTGCAGTAAAGTTATGATTATTGCAGAAAAGATTTTTCTCGGGGAGGGGGGCGCCAATATATTGTACTTCCTTGCCAAGGGCGCAACAAACCCTCGCTACGCCTCTGATTATTTCCATAGATCTTGTATGAAAATACCATTCCATTTCTTCAATATTCAGCTTTATCTTGATATATATAGATAACCGAGATGAAGCAAAATGTTTGCGA